TTGAAGCTTTATATAAGAAAATACGCATAAATGTTTATCGGCTGGAACTACAGTATCCCATGCAACTCTAACCGCCGACTGAATTTTTGAATACCTTTTGGATTGTCTCATCCTCTATGGCTACGGTGGCGACCTCAATTTCGTGTTTCAAGTTATCAATCGGCTCTGGATGGCTGGCGTAGACTTAATCTTAACGGCTGCCTGTAAAATCTGTAATTGGCAGAACCTTCTTCGCTTTCGAAGAAAAACGGACCAATAATGACGCCGGTTCTCAGGCTGCACCAAACATTCACTCGTTGAAGATGTATTGCCAGAAATGTCCATCTTCCGACAAAATATCTTCCACGCCTAATTTCTCTTATATCGTAATTGCATTCTCAATATTTGCCAATACTCTTCAAGAGTAAACTAAACTAATTCGTAAGTCGCAAGCTTTGTACTGAAAATTTCATTGAACGACTTTGAAGACGTCAAAGCTCAAGAGACTTTCGGCCGAGCTCTTCCTACACTTCCAACAAGGGGTGGGATCTATTGTACATTTAAACTAAGTTGCCTCCGAACAGCTGATACATTTTTCTGGGGTTTGACATTCCTTGCCGAGAGGCGATCGCAATTAGAAAAATTAACTTAATTTTTTTTTAAATTAAATAAAATTTCTATAATTTTGGTTGTTGTTCGGACCAGGACTCGAACCCTAGCCTTTCGGATGGCAACAGGCACCACTAACAACTCAGGTATTGCGACCGATGGGTATATATAAATGGCGCCTTGTAACCGCCGAAGTGATTTTCGGCCGTGCTCCTTCTCCAATTTGGGGTTTTGCGTCTTGATGTTTTACAAATGGAGGACCTACAGTTTGTACTAAGCCACGACCGAACGGCTGATGCTTTTTTATATGAAGCCTTTATTTCATGTCAGAAATACACTCGGAGGGTTTGATATTCCCTGCCAAGAGGCAACCGTAATTAGAAAATTTTGCTTAATTTTTTTATTTAAAATCATTTTCTATATCATTTGGATGTTGGCCGCACGGGGATTTGAACCCGAGCCTTCCGAATGGCAGTACGTAATGCTAACCACCCGGTTACTGCGACCGCCGGGTAAGTTTGGACTAAAATTCTACCAAGAGTGGCAGGAATAAGTTCAGAAATAGTCCACATAGCAGACCTTGTTTTTTGAAAGATCTTTGGATTTATGAACCAATTTTGAGTATCTCACAACTCATTCGCATCTTTGGTCCGGGAGCCCGATCTAGATTTGATAGTCTAAGTTACTCAGTTTAAATATTTGCTTGTGATTAATATATATTTCTTTAGGTAGATGTGGCCATGATTAGGCTTTCAAACCTACAGTGAGCCAATATCAACTAGTTTGAGGTACCCAACACCGACCAAATGCTTGTGGCATTGGCTGTTGCAAGCCACATACAACACGATAATTATCAAAAGTAGTTGGTTATACCAAACGTATGAAGGGTATAACAGCAGTAACAACAAAATACATTCATAAGAATAGGAAATAAGCTAAAGGAGACTTTGGAGCGCGGCAAGTAAAACCGATTTCTGGCATGACAACTTTGAGGTACAAATTGTTTGTAGTCGTTGTTGTATTGCTTGTTTACTAGTGTAAGCGTTTTGCTGTTGCTGTTGCTGCTCTTTCTTTTTGTTTTTTTTTTTCTCCTTCTGCTATGTAACTGCTTTTGCTGGTAATCGCATTTTGAGTTCTATCCCAATTCTATTACCAATCTTTTTCGAAATGTCTTTGTCTACGGCCGTCATCATTAGCACCACTCTTCCGCAAACGTCCCCTACGTCATGGCTTACGTTTTTCATTGACGCAAATGTTGACAACGACAAACAATTCAAATCCAACCAATCCAATCAATTCAGCCAGCCAACCAAGTAGTCAACCAATCAACCGAGCGACCAACAGCCGTTTGAACGCACCAGCCGTCCATGAATGTAATCACCATGAGACCATCAAAGTTCCGCTTGCCTCCAGTTGCTGTATGTATGTATGTGTGTGTGTCTGTGTGTGTGTGTGTGTATGTGTGCAGAACAATAATAGTGAATATGTAGTGTGAAGTATTGTCGGTGGAGACGACAGGGACGACAGCTACAAAAGCTGCGTTGAAAACAAAGAAAGTTGAGTGTAGAATTTAGTTGTTAATTAAATTAGTTTGAACCTCTTATTGCAGAAGTGGTCCAGTTATATTGTTTGAAATGTTAACTGGCGTATTAACAACAACATAAACAAAGAGAAAATCTTTGTTTGGTATATTTGTGGAGTGCGAAGTATTGTAGAATGACAAAAGCATGAAATCGTGCAGCGCACACAAATTGTTATGCTAATCAGTATAGCAACGCAGATATACATAATTACATACACATACATACATACATACATACATACATACATATGTATGCATATTGTAATATAAACATGGCTTATAAATAGAAGAATATAGAAGTTGGCTCTAATGCCAAAACAAAGAATTTTTTTAAAAAGGTTATGGCAACTTACATACAGGGTGTGCCAATAGGTCCCAGCTTTTATTCGTTCTAGAAATTAAGTGCTCTCTCAGGATCATGAAAGACTTTACCGAGTCATTTGATACCAAACGAGGTTTCAGGCTTGGGGATTCCTTATCGCGCGACTTCTTTAATTTATTGCTAAAGAAAATTATAAGAGCGATAGAGCTGCATACAGAAGGTACGATCTTCTCGATGATATTGAAATGATTGGCCTCAACAGCCGGGCCGTGAGTCATGCCTTCTCCAGACTGAATAAGAAAGCGAAGCAGATGGGTCCGGTAGAGGAAGAGGGCAAGACGAATTCATTCCTGCCATCAAACAAACAATCATCGGATTTTCGACTTGGTTCCCACGTCACTGTTGACATTTTGAAGTCGTAGATAGTTTTGTCTACCTAGGAACCAGCATCAACACCAACAATAATGTCAGCCTCGAAATCCAAAGCAGATAAATGCATGCCAACAGGTGCTACTTCAAACTGAGTAGGCAATTGAAAAGTTAAGTCCTCTCCCGACGAACAAAAATCAAACTCTAGAAGTCCCTCATGATTCTCGTCCGGTTTTATAGTGCGGAGGCATGGCCGACGACAACACCTGCTGAGACGGCGTTAGGAGTTTGCTTAAGATTTATGGTCTTCTGCGGCATAAACCTCAGACGATGAAATGGTGAGCTGTATGAGATATACGGCGACATTGATGTAGTTCAGCCAATGAAGTGACAACGATCCCACTGGCTAAGTCTTGTCGTCCGTATGAATGAAAGAACTTCAGCTTTGAATGTTTTCGATGCAGTACACGCCAGTGGAAGCTGATGAAGGGGTAGGCCTCCACTCCGTTGAAAGTATCAAGTAGAGAGCGGCTGGGTTTCGCTTCGTATTTCCAATTGGTGCCAAACTGCGAAATATCAAAGTTCGAATAAGAGGCGAAGATAACCATTACAGGATTCACTTGATCTATTACATTAAGATTGTTATCTATTTACCGTTTGCTGCGGATCATGACACAGCTGAATCATTGGATCTTACTTTCTCGAAAATGATAGATTGAAGAAGCACTTACGGTGGATGGATTGCGCTTTCGAGGGTTTATTACAATTTTTTTAGTGGACCCTGCGTGCCACACAATCAACGATGTTTATAATGAAAAGTGTCCGGACCGTAATATCTCTCGAAGAGGTGATCGCTTTTGCCACAGAGACACCTTGCGACTTCTTCCTGTGGAGCTATGTGAAAGATTGAATCTACACCAGCAAACCAACGTCGATTTAAGACTTCAAAGATGGTATTCATGGAGCTATTGAGGGCATACAGCAGTCACTTTACGATTCACTGATGGAAAATTTCATGAAAAGAATACGCTTCGTAAGCGTATACACAACAGTGTGTAAAACAGTGGATGCTTGGGAAACATATAAAGTTCTGGAGTCGTTTCAACGAAGGGCGTACCATTAAATGACTGAGCGTAGATTGGTAAAGCAATATTGTGGCATCTACGTCTAAGGTATCATCGTTAAAAGTTAGGTTAAATAGAATCGGCTGAGTGTAGAGCCTGCACAGAGGAGGATGAAATGCGAGGTCAGTAACTTTGTGAGTGCTCGGCCTTCAGCCGATTGAATGGCGATATCCTCCACGGTGCTCTGATCTCCAGCCTAATGGACATTGGTGCGCGCGGGGAGATGAAAATAATTTTAAACTGAGCGAGTTGTTCACAAAAGAGTAAAAAATAAGCAGGGGAGCCCATTAAGTCCATTCAATGCCCTAGAAACGTCTGAAACTTCCCATTTGATGCTGATGGACCATCCTTGATTCATATGGCTGCATTTTCTAATATGCAGAAGCTCAAGGGTTTGTTCCCAGCCTATACTGAAATATAAAAAGTGTATTCTAAATCCGACCATCCCTTGCCAGGAAACATATTTCAGATATATAATTAAAAGTTCCGCATAAAAACCATTCTGTAGTGATGGTGCTCCTCCTCCAATTCATGGTGTGAGTCTTGATGTACAAGGCCTTGAACTAATGAAGAGACCTACATTTTCTATGCCGCCTTGTATGAGTAGTTTTTATTTTCGGGTCAGAAATACACTCGGAGGGCTTGACATGCCCTGCTCAGAGGCGAGTCCAATTAAAAAAATTAATTTCTTATAACTTTGTATGCCGGTTGAGCGAGAGCTCGAACCTTGGCCTTCAGAATGACAGTATGCACTGCTATTGTGGCCGTCTAAACTCTACATAGGCTCCTTCAAAAGCCTGTTCCACACTTACATAAGTTCCCTTCATGTTGCATCTGCGACAACCTTCTAAGCAAGGTAAGCACAACAACACATATATGCCGTGCACAACTGCCAGTTCATGTGGCATGTAATAAACGCAAAATCGTATTAAAAACCTGCTCATAACAAGCATTGCCCACAGTTGCAAAGGAACGTCTTGGCAAGTCGGTTGAGAGAAGGTCTCGACACAAACAAATGTCAGAAAATAGTATGCTGCCACTTTTTGTGTTATTAACAGCAAAGCTGCTAATTTGTTGCAACCTCATCGATGTGGACAGTGTAATCACAACATTTGCTGTTGCTGCTGATGCTGCTGCTGCTGGGACGACAAATGCTACAAAGGTTTCTGCGGTCACAACCAATTTACTGCAGACCAATCAGCTCAGCAATCCACAGAACTGGCTGAAGCGTCAACGTAGGTATTTACTGTTTGAAAAGGGCGCCACAGTGTTGGTAAGTACGTACGCACAGGTAAACATGTGTAATTACTAAATTAAGCTGAGCTCGAAACCACGGAGCGGCGTAGGAAATACTTTTATTGGCCACAAAAGGCTTTAGTATGAATGCACTCAACTCTAAAACACATTTATGTGTGTGTGTGTGTGTGTGTGTGTTTACTCTTGCCACATGCAATTAATTGAATTAATCAACTGCCATGTTCATGTCCATTTTATGTCTTCCTTACACACACATAAACACACACACACACACACACGTATTTAGGTGCAGGCCAACATTGCTAAAATCATATTACCGGAGCGTCCACGCGGTTGCAATGAAATCTTCGAGTATACCTTCAACTATGAATTGCCATACTCTTTGGAGATGCTCAGCCCGCAGCCGAAGAAAGCACAACAGACGAAGGCTCATGTGAGGCTGGGGCCAACACCAAAAACTAACGCAACTACCAGTGTAATCAGCAGCAAACAGAGGCCGCACTGGATAACAACGTTGCATCAGGCAGACGGTATAAGCAATATCAACAACAACAACAACAACAACAACAACATGCAAAATATTTGGCATGCAACTCCCTATTGGCCTTCAGCGGATGAAAGTGCAGCACCTTGGTGGCAAGTTGCCGGGCGACGACGGCAGCGGTTCGAAGGACAGTCATATCAACCGACGCCGCAGCAGCAGCAGCAGCAGCAATACTTACCAACACACACACTGCAACGAGCTCAACCGTTTACATCAACATCGGCCAAGTTGTCGAAGAAATTTACAAAAATGCCAGCTGCTGCACATCCAGTGCTCATCGACTCTTCCTCCTACCCCTCCTATTGCACACGACGAAATGTCTACGGCAATTGGCGTCACACGATGCCGCATGTTTGTGTGGCTGGTGCTGCTGCTGCTGGTGCTGGTGCGGGTGGTGGTGGTGTTGAAACATTTGGGCGTGGTAGACTGCAGCGTAGCAGCAATGCTAGCGTTGGGCATGAAGGCCAAACAACTGCCGCAGCTGGTGGTGGTGTTGGTGTTGTTATTGCAAGCAGCAAAAAAACTAATGATGCTGACTATCGAATTGATGAGAATGTTGATGAATACCATTTTGCAACAAATGCTGAGCGCGTCTTCTTCGATTTGCTGGGCAAATGGGCTGATATGTAAGTATGTGCTCAAAACATACATAAAGGGTGATTTTTTAAGAGCTATAGGAAAGTTTTTTAAAAAAAGAAACACACATAAAATTCAAAGAATTCCAGAAATCTTTATTTAAATCGATAGTACGGTCCATATAATTTAAAGTTTGAAGATTATTTCATGCAAATGTTGACCGTGACTGTGCCGAAAATGCTCCATCCGCTTAGTCCAATTTTGGAATACTCTTTCCTTTCGGCTGGTAGAAAAAATGCTTCAATATTGTCTCCAATGCGCCAATTAAAGCGGGCTTGTCTGTATAGACATTAGATTTACTATAGTTCCACAAAAAATAGTCTAGAAGCGTTGAATCGCACGATCCAGGCGCCCAATTGACCGGTCCCGAATGTGAAATAAAATGTTCACCAAACTCGCCTTTCAATAAGTCAATTGTTACGCGTGCCAAGTGGCATGTGGCACCGTCTTGTTGAAACCACATGCCAAGTCAAGTCAAGCTCTTGCATTTTGGGTAAAAAAAAGTGTGATATCATCTCACGGCAGCGCTCACCTTTCAATGTTACGTTACGATTCATATCATCTTCCAAGAAGTACGGCCCAATAATGCCACTAGCCTATAAACCGGTGACCTTTTCTGGATGCATTGGCAGCTCTTGCAATGCTTCTAGCTGATTTTCGACAATTTCTGCTTATTTACGCACTCATTAAGCCAAAAATGAGCTTCGGCGCTGAACACAGTCTTTTTAAAAGAAGCGCGCGATGAACTCTCTTAACACAGCACCCATTTTGATAATAAAATTCTTTAATTTGCAAGCGTTGTTCGTTTTTAAGACGATTCAGTGTTAAATTATAGACCAAACTAAAGAAGTTTTACGGTGATACACAGCACGAAACGTGCGTCAGCTCTTTAAACCAGTGTTGCCAAAAAGTTAATAGCTAAAAAATCACCCTTTATTTATACATATGTACTCTTAAATATATATATGGGTGAACGGCCAGGTGTGGAACTGCAAATTGCTTACATCAGTATGATCGCTGGCATTACAACAGCAATTAGTGATTACACATGGCGTAGGAAGGAATCTTTTCAAAAAGCCTGGAGGCAAAGTTCCTTTAGGGTTCGGCAAAAGCGCTCAATTCATTCGTAGATATGTGTGCATATTGAAAGTGTTTTTTTCCATTCATCAATTCATTACCTGTTCGGCTCTTTCACAGCTCATCATTTTATTTCAAATTGTTTCTCTTTATCTTCGGCATATTTGCGAAAGGCCAACACCTGAGAATTCCTTCAATCACTACGCACTCTCTTTTGCTTTTGCTGCTGCTGCTGCTCGCATTGATGTAGTTGTAGGTAATTGCATTGTAATTACACTACTAATTGATTTCATTAAGTTCCTACCGCCTGCCACCCTTCTGCCACCATTTTGCCACTTACCCAATAGCTATTCACCATTTTGTGTCTCTTTGTGCACTTCTCGGCTCATACATTTGCATTCCACATCCGATTTGACTTCCTGTGCGCCCTGGTGCTCTCTTCTACAAACTTCCATGCATTTACATAACTGCACACCACTGGCTGATGTTGTATTCACAATAGACATAATTACCCAGCTCAACACTGCTTGCTGCGCACCTTCTGTGAAGCTCGTCACTTACTTGCTGTGCCGGGTCAATCGCTGATGCACGATTTAATACGAATTCTCATCGAGTGAGTATATTTTGATTTTAAATACAAATTTTGCTATTAAAGCTTTGTTCAATTGTGTACGAGGTGTGTTCAAAATGCGAAGAGGATTCTTAACTTTCGCTGGCATGGAAATTAACATGAAATAAATATAAACATTTTGGTCTAAAGTGAAAGGAGAGAGAGGGAGAGAGAGAGAGAGAGCTACTAAAAGCTATATCAAAGCGTATCAGAACGAGCTGACTTGATTTAGCCATGTCCGTCTGTTTGTCTGTACAACTGTTTTTGAGTTATTTCAGCCAAATTTGGTGCACAGAGACTCCACATCATTTGTCCAGATGCGGACTGCTATAGCTTATAAACAAATCTTCGGGTCATTGTACATATTGTACATAAAATAAGGAGAACTATAACATAAAGCTCCCACACACCGATTATTTCCAATATGAAAAACAATTGGTTCCCGGCAGTGCCAGAAAAAGAGCTGGTGCGATAAGGAATGTCGAACTGCAGTGGAGAGAAAACTGACTACCTACCTTATAAAATGACGATCGACCACTACACGTGCGTGATGGGATAGCTAACGAGAACTGAAGAGGGAAGTAAGACGAATGTACTGATAAAACAGAAACAGACCGAAATGCATGAGTATGAAGAGCTTGAGAAGGCTAATGCAGCGGCGACTAACCGAAGGTTTCAAGATCGTAGCATAAATCTGGTGATCGATGTCCAGAGCATACTTGGTGTATGGTGGAAGGCCTACTCCAGACAGCTGTAAAGGTAGTGAAAATGTAATAGACGGTAATGGTGAAACCGATTCCTTAATCGATAATGATGGGAAAACATGTTCCTCTGCTCGACTATGAGGAGGTTCGATTAGCGGTTATCCTCTTACAAAACAACAAATACGATGGAGCTGATGGCCTAACGGCTAATCAATTTAAACATGGCGATCAAGAACTGGCAAATTGCATGCATCAGGTGCTTTGCAGAATATGATGGTACCGGGATATGAACCCGAGCCTTCCGAATGTCAGAAAAGCCAAAGCCCACCGTCAGCAAGCTGCTTGAAGCTTATCAGTGTGACCTTTATATTTGCCAGAGATTTCCTTTTTTCGTAAGGATATCATAACAGCATCGCTGAAAGAACAAAAGGCGATCTCAAAGAGCGAGCTTCGACTATTGGGAGAAGCGCCAGTACTATTTTAATGGCGCCATAAACAATATAGACGATAATTTTGATTTTGGAAACACAAAATTTATGGGTACTTTTGGAACACATCTCGTTGGTATGTGATTAGTAAGTTAAGTTTTAATGTTTTCGGCCATGCCGAATGCTTTGTAACTTAAACGACTTGCGCGATAGTAGTCGAAACAGCAACAGCGCATCAGTCGTTTCTACTTCTTGCCGTTCGCCGACGAACGGGAACGCCAAGTGAAATTAGGTTTTACTTCACCTAATACTTCCATGTCAATGAAGGTCCCCTAACTCCTTTATATTCACACGAGTTTTCGTGAATTCGCACGTCATAACTCCCTTTTGTGTTTCCAAAACTGACTCTTCTGATATAATCATCGCTCACCATGAAGTAGGAAGAGAATGATGTTCGATTTGTAGAGAAGAAATTTTATCTACGACTTCCGAGTTTTGACTGACTCCGGTGACGACAGAGCCGCCAGAAGATATTTCCTCTTCTCCACGCTGATTACCAGACCTTATCCAGTCTAAAGAAAGCCCTACTAAGTGCACAGTTGCTTAGACTGATGATGTCAATATCAATGGAGAACGTCAGTAGTTGTACGCGTTTGCGAAATATTGTATCTTCTCTTTCTGGCTCAGCAGAATAACTCTGACTGAAAGGTTCTTAGGATCCCTTGATAATTTTCTCAAAAGTTTGTTTGGCGCCTTGTATACGTATCTGCAAACTGGTGGATCTACTAGGTTTAAAACCACACTGATAAGGCCCAATCATTTCATTGACGGTGTACATTATTATTTCACTAAAAAGGCTTTTTCAAAACCTTGGGCCTCAGGATCCCAGCGTCCCTATTCTGCAAACAAAGTGCAATATTTGCATACCTCAGCAGGTATACCATACATTCCCTTTGCCATCTCAGTCACGGCCCGAGCAGTCACTCTTCGGCTTCACCACTATTGGCGATAGAAATTCTATACCTCCTCTCATTGTTTGAAGTTTCGAAGGGCCATATCCTAGTATTTTGCTTTTAGTGCAATTTAAAGGGCCGCATTTTCTCGCCAGTTCTTAATACTCAGCCATTTCAAATGCATCCGTCTCGGTTTTCAGCGCTTGTTATCTTTTTCATACAATTCTCCTCGCGGTGAAGTATCTGCTAAGTCTTTCACCAAAAAGGTCAACAGCAGATGATAAAGCGAAAGAACGTGTAATATGACAAAATAAATCTGGTCATTAATCGAGGTAAACAGAACTTAGTTTCTACTCCGTCTAAACCAGACCCTGATAGGCATAACAACTGGCATAATAATCGAACACTCATGAAGAAGGAAGAGCTGCTTATCAAACAACATCTGCTGCTAAAGATGAGAAGGCATCAGTAGTAGTAGTATTTTGGAAGTTGAAAGGAATATCATTAGCAGGACCAATAGGTATCACAACGAGCCAGGAAGCCTAACTGCACTTGATCAAGCCTTATCACATCACCTCTTCGATCATAGGACAATAGTTTAATTGGTGTCTATATGTGGGAAACTTGAAGAACTGTTCATCTCGGTATAAGTGGTGGACGAGTGCTCTCAGTGAGCGGGAGTGCAAGTTTAGTAGAAAGCTGCTGGGTTGCAAAACTTTCTTGTGTTCGTTGACACATGTTTTTGAATGCACAAAACCGTATGTGTTTTATTGCTCGCGAAAAGATAGAGCTACGAGTCAATCTTCAGCATTCGGAGTGTACGGACATATAGAACACCGTAGACATGACATTCGTCTATTAAAATGTGAAGTATTAAATATATCAATTGAGGTTGAAGCAGGATTCAAACTAAATCAATTTAGCTCATATTTAAAACTTTAATACCGAAAGCCATTAAAAAAAAAATACTTTCTTTGCAACCACATTTTGCTTTTACTTCGCGGTCCGTATGTTGTCCATTCTAATACAACGTAATGAATGTCAGTTCGGACAGGAAACTCGATTAAATGCGACTTTATTATTTTCTCTTTTATAATAAACCGCATGGAAGCGCCACAAGGATACTCTTTTCTCTATTGCTCAGTTCAGTTGAGTTTGGTTTCACTTTTTATTTCTTTTAGTTATTCCTTTGCCGCTCGCCAACCATTGCACTTAACAGTCACTCATAATTTACGTGTACTACCCGCAAAGGACAATGTAAAGGATGTAATCTTTTTTTTTGTTGAGTCTGCTGTGGCGCGGGAAAATTGCTTTAAACAGCTGCCGCGGAAAGAAAGCCTTGAAGAAATGCAACCGCCGGATAGGCATCTGTGTGGCAAGAAAGGGAAAAAGAATGAATGGGAAATGGGTGTGTTGAAGACAGCAGTATGCAAAGTAAGATTATGTGTGTTTGAGGGTTAGCTAGCGTTGAAAGCTGTTTGGGATTTTAACTTTTGATACAACTCCATATTATCGTGGATAGTTTAATTACTGATGGATAGCTTCCGTCTTGGATAAAAGCGTAAAAAATATCACAGCAATGCATTTTGTGATTAATAGCAAATTCATGCCAAAAATTATCCGCTGATTGTTACATCGTATAAAGAAATCGATAAAAAAATTAGTCAAAAACAGATATCGACTAATTTATATATTGTATAAAGAATAATAGTAAAATTATGACAATTTTATTTCGATTTCTATCGATTTTTTCATTAATATTTAGTTAGCTAAAATCAGGAAGAGCAACATCGGAATAACATTGAAATTTTCTCCATGGTATTCTTCACTCAATATATCAATCATTCGATTTTTGTTTTTGACTAATATCGAATTCACATTGATATTTTTTATACGATATATCAATCAGCTGTTGATATTTTGTGTGCGATATTCTTTATACGATACGTTAATCAGTTGATATCCGGTTTTGACTAATATCGAAATCACATTGATATTTTTTATACGATATATCAATCAGCTGTTGGTATTTTTTCTGCGATATTCTTTATACGATATATCAATCAGCTGTTGTTGGCTGGTATAGATCATATTGACATTTCTTTTACGATATGTCAACTAGCTGATAGTTGAACAATCGGTTTTATTCATACGATATATCAACCAGATGATAATTTTTGGCGTATATCGTTACCACATCTATAAATTTTGTGAATTATATTCAGCCAATACAGAAATAACGTTGACATTTTTGTACGATACTTACTATACGATACACCAATCTGATGATTTTGGTGGATATCGATAACAATCAGCTAAATCAGCTAATTAGCATCGATACAATTTGCGATTAATAAACGGCTTATTTCGAAATAATGAAATATTTATTCCGCGGAAGGTCTAATTAATGGCAATATCACATTTTCGAAGATTGATGAATGCAACCTGGCTTTTCAATCTACACTCGTGGGTATAGCGCGAGCCGTAGAAAATCGTTTGTCTGAAAGATTGTGTCAATTCGTCTATGGAGAAATTTTGGACAACATCGAAAGAACAATGATCCAAAGAATAGTGACCGAAATACCCGATATATCGTATATGCGAAGTGAATGATATGCGGTTATCTAAGATCATTATAAGCAGAAACCCTTAAGTAGCAGAAAGTGCTTCAACCGCGGGAAATCGGATCACTTCTCACATAACTAAAAGCCTCGCTTGGTAAAAACAAGTTTCTCAAACTCAAGTGAAGACGAGTTATTTTAATGCTTGATGAGCTTAAGCGTGTGCTAACTGTCATCATATCTATAGATTTACCTGATTTGGTTATTACTCGGAGCCGAATTGGGAACAGTAACTGGTGTGAGCACCTCTTCTACAGGTAGCTTATGAAATCATGATGAGAAATATAGCCTCTTGAGGTCATGATGGCGAAAGTGACTGATGAAGTTACGTTTAATATGGACTGGAATCATGGAGTGCTCAAAATGATCTGTGCATCCGTAAGCAAGTGGCATGTCTTGTCGACTATGCAATTTACAAAGGAGGGTTACAAAGCAACTCAGTAGGACGACAGGGATTAGTATAAACTGTAGGTCCCTCCATTTGTTGGAAAACACCATGATGAATACCCCGCATTGGGGGAGGAGCTCAACGAGTCATTAAGAGTACCCTAGAAGTTCTAGTAGATTTGTTTTCGACAATCTATTAAATAATAAATTCTAGAAGTCATAGCCAGAGCAGACATTACAAATCTGAAGTAAGCAAAATTGGTCTGGTGCCTTGAAGAAGAAGCTGAGAGAAATATACATGAAACTGTTGGACAGCGTGCACCCAGATTTTGAGTGTCCGGCTAAAAATTGGATATGAAACGGAAATAAACTCCGAACAGTTACGAAAAACTGATGAAAGAAAGGTTTATCCTTGCAACTGCTGTGCAACTGGGAAGGTCCGTACAACGTTATCAAACACCTGAATGACGCGGTGACTAAAAACCAGTTAAAGCTGATCAATTTGAAGGGACCAGCAGGGTGTGAGCCTTTTATTCCGTGTTAAACTGGCTGGTAACTCTAGCGAATTGTAAATTTATATAATTTGAGACTAATACTCAAAAATATTTTCAACAAAATCGAACGAACCCTTTTCCGAGATTTATTATTTATTATTTTCTTTATTAGTACAAATAATTTAAGCCAGACTTTCGTCAACTTTTTTTCATATACAAATATTAAATTTTTATATGTACATTTTACTATGACAACAAAAGTAAATTGCGTATATCCAACACTATATAACAATTATTTAAACTTTTTTGTTTTCCATTTCTCTTTTCGCCTCTGTACTGTCATTTTTTCTACTTTTGATTACAACGCTGGATTACTGCACATGTGTTTACATATAACGTATATATATATAAACTCACGTGTGTATGTATTTGGAATGTGCTTGTATGCATGCATGTATATAAACACGCAGTGCTGCATTGCCGGCCTCACGTAGACATGCCAGATATAAAAAAGCGATTTGGCACGACAATTTAAACGACTGCACCCAACAGTATGCAACGCTTTGTGGCTTAAGTTTTCTGCAATATTTGACCGAAGTTGTACATGGACGATTTATGTAACAATCGGGAGTAAGTTGTGCGTACAACAACAATAACAATAAATAGCAACAACAATAAACAACAACAACAACAACAGCAACAGCAACAACAACAACAACAATATCTCCAACAAACCAACTACAACAACAAGAATAAATATCAATATCAACAACAACAACAACAACAACAACAACAACAACAAAACTACAACAACAAATAAATAATAGCAACAACAAATGAACATCAACGGCAACAACAAAAGTAATAACTTCAAAAGTAATAGCAAAACCAAATTAACAGCAACAGCAACAACAATAGCAAATATAACAATAACAATACAAAATAATAGCAACACAACTACAAGCAGTCAGTCATTAAGCCAAAAGTGCATCAATGCAATCTTAAACAACTCCGAAATATACTAGTTTATCACTAGTCCGTAAAACTTTGTAGCGGTTACACTTTATGTCAATTATTAATATTGAGGATAATGCATTTATTTTAATATTAAATTTATAAATCTACGCTCAATTATTTTACTATTTGTTACAAAAGGAAAAATTTCACGGTGTAGATAAAAGCGTTTGAATCATTGAGCCCCTAATTTGGATTTTTAATTTTATATTGAATTTATGTTACTTACATTTAAATAAATTAAAGGCCAAGCACTTGCTTCCATCAATTAATTTAAAAATATTATTTTTTTGAAAATTTCCATATCAGTTTTATTTTATTTTCTTTAAATTCGCTTTTAATAAAAGAAAACTCCAATATTTTAACCAAAGCGAAACTGGTATTTTTTTTCACTATTTAAACTGGTCCAACCTTAACTAGTGTTCTTCTAGTCCGATTTGAATAAGTATAAGAGTAGTATAACTATTACCAAAATATTACAATTGCCTACTCGAGGGCATTAACTACTACTACTACTACATTTGATCGCTGGGTACACGCAATAAAGTGCGTATTTGCTATAAATAAAAAACATATATGTTTGCATTTTGTATATTGAATATATACTGACAAATTGCATTTGGCGTTTACAATCATACCTAAGTACATACATACATATGAATGTGCTGTATATGTATGCTTGGTTTTATAAATTTTATATGTACGAGGGTGGTTTGAAAAATTTCCGAGCTAACTGAAATGCAAGAATTATTATTATTTTTTTCAACAGAGTGTTCTTGCAACGTCAACACACACTCTCTCTCTCTCACCCTTTCTCTCTGTAACTCACGCAAAAAATAGTATAAGGGTTTCTCTGTTGCCTCTTTTTTTGACAAAAAATCTGTTCTTCGAGCGCAGTTTTCAAATGAGAGAATGCAAATGACTCGTTTACCGCTAGATATGTTGAGTTAGGTGGAAGGACAGCAACCGCAACCGAGTTGTAAGACGGTGCATTGGTATGGTGAATATCCGGTAGTTGTTTTCTTTCTTTTTTTTTTTGAAGATAATCTATTAAAATAATTCTATAACCAATTACCTTGAACAAGACACAATTTTTTTCTGATTTTGAGCTGACAGTCCACTATTCCCGACGAATAATGGCCCACCCCTGGTACATAATCGACTTCACTACTTAGATTTCTTGCGCCCAAACTGTGCCAGAAGGAGGTCTCTCATTCGAGAATTTAGCAGAAGATTTTTCTTATGTGAGGGGTCCCCAACTCTACACCCAACAGCAGCGTAATTCGCCTGTTCACTTTAGCTGGTCCCCAAACGGACGTTTGTTGGTTACCCAGAGCTCACTTGGCATAGACGAAAAGTCGTGAGCTACTTAAACCATGGTGAATGGCAGTCAAAAACTTTCCTTAATTGCGTGTACACATGGTCCCATCCACTCATTAGTGTACAACTACGAACTATTTATGGTACTTTGCATAATGGACGCGATGGAACGATGAGCTGTATGAGTTATACGGTGGCATTGAATCTATAAAGAGGCGGCTGCTATGCCGCCTGAAAGGATGGAAACACTTCAGCTTTGAAAGTATTCGATGCAGTACCCATCGCTGGAAGTTTTGGCTGTAAAATGAACAATGAAATGTTGCAAGTGAAATGCTTTCGGACCACCCTCCTTGGTATTTGGGTATCCAATCGTAATAAAATAAAAATGTGTCCTGCTGCGTCAATAACTACACATACAAATAAATGGTTTATGGTTATGTGACGGCGCAATAAAATATAAAATTCGAAATGTAAATAAAAGTGACAAATATTAAAAATAGCACATCTACTGGTATGTGGATACCATTGTTGCCGCGCTGATTGTCGCGTTGGTGTTGGCGTTGGTGTTGCCTTCGAAATACACATTTTTTCTCACCGCAGTTTTCTTAATTTAATAATTTAATTTTTTTCTTGTTTTTCTGTTCAGCAGCAGAATATATTAGTTTTGTACACTAGACGCCACTTAAAAAACTAGACCAATGGCATGGGATGAGAAATTTTTCCATTTTGTATTGGGATTTTGGGGCGTGTACCTAGAATGTTCGGCCTTTTAATTGGTAAGGTGCCGCTGCCCAGATGGTTGATGTCTTCTCTAAATTAAGGCTGAGATCACCGGAGATCACGATTCTTCACTCTGCTGGACGCCTCGACGGACATCGGATAAGAACGATGTGACTAAATATACCTTTTAAGATATTCTTGAGCACACCTGTGAGCGCTGACTCCCTTACTATGTCAGAATCGTGCTTGACAATTTCGACGCCATGGTGAGCAAGGAAGCTATCTTTGGTGCAACGGCCGATAAAGCCAGCTTACATGATGAAACTTTCCCAAGTGAGCTGAGGCTGATCGATTTCGCAGGCGATCGATATTCGACATATGAGTATTCATTAAACTAAATACATGACTCTGGATTGAAATATGCATAACCCAGCTACGCATACCTTGAGTTCCCGTCTACAAACAACAAGAAAGGTTGTATGTAAAAAAGCCGCAACTATAAACGATCAGTCAAACAGTTTTCCCTTGAGTTCAAACTGAGCATACATGGTTTTAGTTAGGATCGAACGAAGAGCTGACACGACGAAGGGGATTGCCGTGCTGCCGTTAAAAGAAAAAAACTCTGCCTCACTCGTAACCCTGCGTTGGACCATAGCACGCGCTGTGTGGGATAGACACCGAGTAGCATTTTAAAAAAGGGAGATCAGATCAGACTCAGCAGCTCTCAAGTCCAACCCATCCTCACGTCGAAACGAATGAGGTGCTCTGGTGATCGCTTGCCGGTAGAATACTGAGTTTCATTTCTCCAGCAAGCGGAATAGCACTGAAAATGAAACTTGATATTCTAGCTCCCGACTATGCTGACGAATAGCAATAGCTTGCCCGGTACTGACTGTCATGGGTCTCAGTATTCCCGCAGCTAGTTCTCCCCTCACCTGATTGGATAAAATAGCAAAGCGAGTGTACATGGCAACCTGGAAATCTAACGTAGAAACATTCCTTCCTTCAAAACCTAAATTCTGCAAAACCTTCAACTTTACTGTACTGCTATGAACTGAAGAACCGTAAACGAAACTCCCACGATGCCCGATGAGTACCACAGCGAGGTAAAGATTCAAGAATTTCCCCGCGCCAAATCCTGCTTTCCGTGTAAGAAGCGACTACAATACAAAAGTTCCCGTGACAGTCGGATCTTTATACCAGAATAATTTGGAGTTTTATCTGGCCAAGGGCTATCACTCCCACAGCATACCCCAAGAACCACTTTGGGAAACAAGAACGTACGATTTTTCGGCACTAAGAGTTTGCGTAAGAAAGGTTTTGCGAACGATTTATGGACCTCTACATATGGCGATGGGTGAAAACATCCCAGCACTGAAAGTCTCCGACGCAGTCTCTGCCTGCTGAAGTAGACGAAGAGAAATACCTTCAGTGTGCTGAAAAGATAAAGTGAAGATTTAAAGAAAGGACCTGTTTTAACTAGATTATAATCGGGTAAGTGGTGCCTAGGCCGGTAAAGAAGAAGAAAAATATTTGTTTTTTTTGTTTTTTCAGTGCAGAGTTTTCCACTCTTTCAAGTGCATAACAGTAAATCTATCGCTTTGAGCGCTGAATGCACTTTTGTATGCTAAAAAAGTGAATATATATATATATATATATACATAACGCGATTTGTCGGCAAAAATTTTTTTTATTAGTAGAATAGTGAGTTGAAAAAATCTCACAAAAAGCTTTGTTGGCCGTTAAAAGGTGGCAGAGGTGTGTGTATTCGAGATAGTTTATTTGTCCCTCAAGTCGATTTGTTAAATTTATGGTGAACTTTTTGTGACACACAATTACAAATATTGCCTAAATGAATTATACATATACAGCCATGGCCAAAATTATTAGGCACTCCACTAAAATACCAGGATTCTCAAATGTGGCTATCAAAGTTAACACTTCATTTTGTAAATGTCTTATTATAAATACCCGCGGTGCGCGGTCCGATGTGCTATCAGGCGATTTGTGGAGATGAAATCCCACGATAAAAAATCAAAAAGTGGAAGTAAGCGTTTAAGCAGTGAACGAGAAGACCGAATACTTATACGCAAGTCTCTCAAGGATCGCAAAAAACCTTCTTCTGCGCTTGCAACTGCCCTTTCGAATAAATTTAGTAAACCGGTTAGTGCTCGAACAGCTAGAAGAAGATTTCTGGAAGCAGGTTTAAAAGGATGAATAGCTCGAAAGAAGCCATGGCTCGCAGAAAAGAATAGGAAAAATCGATACCATCATTTCACGGAAAAAGATTGGTCGGATGTTCTGTGCTCTGATGAATCAAACTTCAAGCTAAGCTTAGCTAAGATCGTCTTAAAGTATTAGCAGCCATAGCTTCTTACTCTAGAGCAATTTTTAAGACATAATACAAATCTTATGAAAATATTATTTTTTCTTTTCTACAGATATCTGAAACACCTGGTGTGACGTTCGTGAGGCGACGGGTTTGGGAAGAATATCAACCAGATTGCGTGGTGCCCACTGTTAAGTATGGAGGAGGCAGCATTATGATCTGGTGCTGCATGGCTGCT